AGAATTCCACATCCTTATTGTTCTTACAGTAAAAAAAAACCTTTCCTTTGCTTTAGATGAAATCTTCTTTCTTCCAGTCTAAATGCATGACCTCGTGTCCTATGTAAAGTCTGGTTTGTGAATATATTTCCACACAATGGTTTGTATTGGCCCCGAATATATTTGTATAATATTGTCATATCCCCTCTCAGGCGACATTTTTCTAAACTAAATAGGTTTAAATTGGTTAACCTTTCTTCATAGCTGATATGTTCCACTCCTTTTATTAATTTTGTAGCCCGCCTCTGCACTTTTTCTAGTGCCATAATATCCTTTTTTAGAACAGGTGCCCAACATTGCACAGCATATTCAGTATGTGCTCTTAGCAGTGATTTACAAAACATAATGTTTTGAAAATTCAGTGTTTACAGCAAAAAGCCTGCATTAACTGACTAAACACCAGAACAACTACAATAAGCTGTAGTTGTTATGGTGACTATAGTGACCCTTTAAGGTGTGTAGAATACCTTAATTAGACTATTCCCATTATCATTGGGGTCTCCCTGGGAATAAAGTGCCACAACTGGTAATGACATATTGAAGTTAGTAGCCAGGAGCCTGATAAATGTAAAGGGTATGTTCAGGCTAATCACAGCCCACTAAAATAACATGGGGACCCATTATTTTACAGTAGTGCTGAAACATTGGAGAATTGATAATATATGTACCATTTTTAAAGAAAACATGAGTGAGCTGGCAAAACACATTTATTTAATTTCTTTTGCGATTCATATTCAACCGTAGGTTATAACAGAATGGCACAATCATAAAACAAAACATGGCAACAAAGAAAAAAATGAAAAGACCCCTGTTCAAAAATGTGCATGCCCTTAGTTCTTAATTCTATGTATTGTCTCCTTTAGCATCAATGACAGCGTGCATTCCTTTGTAATAGTTGTCTATGAGGCCCCTAAATCTTGCAGGTGATATAGCTGCCCCTTCGACTTGAAGGAATGCCTCCAGGTCATGCAAAGTCTTTGGTCGTCTTGCATGAACCACATGTTTGAGATCTTCCCAGAGTGGCTCGATGATATTAAGGTCAGGAGACTGTGATGGCCACTCTAGAACCTTCACCTTTTTCTGCTTTAACCACTGGAGGGTCAACTTGGCCTTGTGCTTAGGGTCATTTTCATGCTGGAAAGTCCAAGAGCATCCCATGCGCAGCCTTCATGCAGAAGAATGCAAACTGTCTGTCAGTATTTTCTGATAACAGATTTATTTGTAATAAGCTAGTGGACCAGATATTTTAAGAAGACTGATGTGTCTGTTGTCATAATATAATCTGTATCTATGCTAAACTATTCTAAGTGTATTAAAGAGAATTTGGATTTTTTTTTTTTAATCTTGCCATCAATTTTCACAAGATTTCCCGCGCCTTTAGATATTGCAATTTAAAAAGCCGCAGGTTTGGGAAATTAACCTTTAATTGCCATTTAAACCAGTGTGTGCCACCTTGTGTGTGTGTGTGTAGTGGGTTAAGCTGCACTCGTTATTGTGTGTGCAAATTTAAACTTAAAAATAGAACTATATTATCCAATGGCACCCTAATTCAAAGACAAATCAATACTAGCTCATACTTTTGAAGGAAAGGGATGCTCCTTGTATTTTGAATTTTTATTCTATTTTACCATATTCAGCCATTTGTTGAAATGTAACTATGAAGAGGATAAAATGTGTGGAGGACACACTGAATACAATGCTTGTCATACAGAATTTGTTTTCTTTGAAAGAGCCCTTAGTCGCTGTCTGATAGTCACTAGTAGGCATGGAGACTGCAAATGGAATCAGTGTTGTTTCCTAGATACGGTGGTGTTTTCATTTGAAAGTCTTTAGGGGCAATATCTATGCATAAAAAAAAAATCACTTTGCTAAGATGAAGTGATTTTGGTGTTTAAACTGTCTTTTTAAAAGGAAAGTATCACCGCTTACCTGGCTCTATGCTCCCCTGCCATTATCTCATTAAAGAGGTGGGTGTTACACTACAGTCTGCCCGCGCCTCTACTTAGCTCTTTACCTTGGTTGGGGACACTTTCCCAAGCAGGGAAAACGTCTTCCATGATGCTGACATGCTAGCTTTGTTGTCAGCACCTGAATGGAGGGTATACTATCACTCCATTATTATACTCCTTAGACAGCACTAGCTAGGGAGCTACCATTGCATCCAGAGCACATGTGCTGTGGATCCTATGAGTGAAAAGCAGAGGATCGTCCTGTTGGAGGTCTCTTCTGCTATCCCTGTCTCTCAATTTCTAGTCATGGAGTGTCTGCCGAGGAACTGAGAGACAGATGGGAGAAAAAATATGTTTAAGCAAGTTGTTTCTACAAATGCATACAAGTGCTAGGAAAACTGCTAGCACAATATATTGATTGATTTTCAAGCTCTTTTCTTAAAAGCTAAAGTAATTTTGATCATGAGAGGTTCCCTTCAAACTCTGCTTGCTGGGTTGATATTGACTGTGTCTGTCACTTTACTCTGTCTCGCTCTATAAATAAACTCTTTTTACATTACTCTAGGGGTGGGAAGCAATTGAATGGATCATACAAAACTCTGAGAGCACTGTAAGCTAACAGTGCATGGATCCACTCTGTCCCGACTAAAGGTAACATCTTGTTGTGCATTACAGCTGCTTTCTTGGGTATGCCCACCTGTTATTGTAGAGTACTTTCCAAACCTGCACTGGTTTTGGTCATTAAATGGATACTATAGGCACCAAAAGAACTTGATGCAGTTTTGATATATATTTGATTACCCTGCAGCCTCACTGCTCGGTTGTCTGCCATTTTGGAGTTAAATCCCATTGTTTATGCAGCCCTAGTCACACCTCCCTGCATGTGACTTACACAGCCTTTTTAAAAACACCTAATCTAGGCAAAAAAAATGGGGGTTTAGTTACATTATATGATCATACATTGCATAAGCCTGCCACAACGTCAATTTATGCCATCTTTGGCAGGTCCTACTCTAACAGCCTAATGTCAGCAACTTCAATGTTGACAGATTTGCAGACATTAGGCTGTTAGTGTAGGACCTGCCAAAGATGGGGTACATTGACTTTGTGGCAGGCTTATGCAATGTATGATCATATAATGTAACTAAACCCTCATTATTTTTGCCTAGATTAGGTGTTTTAAAAAAAAACAAATAAAATCTTTCAACATTGAAGTTGCTGTTTAGTGGATAGGTGAGTGCGCTGGATCTTGTGTATTGTATTATTTGGCCCCCAGCAGCACCCCCATTTATGCATGTTAAGGTGAGTGCAGCCAACCCCCTCTTGTTTTATATATATTTGGGAGTCTAGCCAACTCCTTGGTTTTGCACCCCTCCCTGTCACAGGTGCCTCATCCCAGGGCCCTATTTAGCCTTGTACTGCAGAGAGCCCCAGATGGAATTTTTTTCCCCAAGTAGGTTAATCTCATAAGAGCAGACATTAGGCTGTTAGTGTAGGACCTGCCAAAGATGGGGTACATTGACGTTGTGGCAGGCTTATGCACTGTATGATCATATAATGTAACTAAACCCCCATTATTTTTGCCTAGATTAGGTGTTTTTTAAAAAAACAAATAAAATCTTTCAACATTGAAGTTGCTGTTTAGTGGATAGGTGAGTGCGCTGGATCTTGTGTAATTAATATATATATATATATATATATATATATATATATACATACATACATACATACATGGCGTGTGTTTGTGCTTTAGGATGCACACCCTAATGCAATAGGCTGCGCACGCCTAGATACAAATTCTACATCTGTAGTACTGTTTGTTTATTTCTTTTAGATACAAATCCCATTATGGAATAAAAAACCCAAATTAAAAGATGGAGTGTATAAATGTTCTACCTTTTAATTTAAGTTATTATATTACACATTATTTATTGTTGTATATTGGAAAGACTTTTGCATTTTAAGTCAACATTTTTTCTTTTAATTGTATCTCATTAGGCAATCGCTGTGAAAAGAATGGTGACTTAGGTGGCACATGTCTATCATCAAGAGCAGACAGCATGAAAACAGGTCCATTCAACAACAATAAACATGCCTGCTTCAGGAAGACTGTTTTGGCACAAAGACTGTCCCACTATCTTCTGTTTAACTCAGTCAGCACCCTATGGCAAACCTGTCAATTTGGGACTGACCTATTTTTTATGCATTTTTAGAAATAATTTTATGCAGTGACTCTTAGAATAATATTTTGCAATAAAGGCAGATTTCATTGTGACTTTTACCTTACCTCATTGCAATCAGTGTGACGTACAGCATAATACAGAGCAGTTAAATGGTCACAACAACAGTTTAACAGATTTGTTTCTTAATTTCCTAATATTTTCCTAATATTTTCAGATTCATGTAAAGGACATATATGTACATGAATCTAGGCTGCTGGAATTAACTGCTGATTCACACTTCATTTGATGTTAAAAATACTCAGTACAACCATTACAGAATGTTGAAAGTCTGCACGTCTAAATCAGGGATTTTTATATCATGGCCGTCGATATATTTGATAGCTGGAATACCTTGAAATTGCTTTCAGGCAATGGATATTTTTCACAAGCACTACAGCAGCTCAGTGCTGATAATTTATTTGTAATAAGCTAGTGGACCAGATATTTAAAAAATAAAATAAAAAATACTGACATGTGTCTGTCATAATATCATCTGTATCTATGCTAAACTATTCTAAGTGTATTAAAGAGAATTTGAAGAAAAAAAACCCCTCTAATTATCTTTATAAATTCTAGCACGTTTCCATTGATAACATTTGCAATTTTAATTCTTGATATGAGTATGCTCACATTAATAAATTTTTCAGACAGCCATTTTGCTGTTACAGGACATAAAGCCATAGCAAGCTGGTTGTAATCCACAGCAACAATGTATATTCACATCTTCTAATTATATTTAAAAAACAAACAAAAAAAAAAAAATTTTTTTTTTTTTTTAAAGCAGTTTGAAGTAGCTTTAGCAGTAAAGTTGCCGTTAGCAGTGCATGTTTGAATGGTGATATACTTAAACTTGCTTTATTTTTGCCAAGAACAGAGATAGTGCCTATAATTGATATCCCAGTAGCTGCTACATGTAAAAACAAAGAATTCATATGACACTTGTTTTGTTATATACAAAGTGCCATAAATGTTGGGTGCTATCTTTATTGCTGAGCATGAATTGACTTTACTTACACTTTATTTAATATTAACGAATCATTTTCTGTATTGTTACCAGATTTTAATGTAGGTTTTATTGCCACATGATGCATATCACTAACTTATTGAGTTCTATATTTAGATTGTAAGCTCGTTTGGGCAGGGCTCTTTTCACACACTGTCCCAGTATGCCAATCATATTTTGTTAGAATTTAGTTTTTGTCTTGTTAACCATTGTACAATGCTGTGTAATATGTTGACGATATAAATAATTGTAATTGTATGAATCACTGGAATGTGTTGCAAGCAAGAGACTCCAAAATCTCCCATAGACTGTCCACATGTAGGAGTGTTCCAAGATGGAGGAACCAAGTACTGATGACAATAAACCCTTAGTATATTATCATTCACTGGCGGGGTACTAGGGGACAGTCCCCGCTGCTCTAGCATGGAGATGATTAGATCTGCGTCTGAGGGAATGTAGATTTATTCCCGTGCTCCCTTTTACACACACTGCTGCTGTAGAAAGGTACGATCTGATGTCGTTTCTCGAACATCCATTGCTCTGTGTTAAAGCATGTGGAGATAGAATGAGGATGTAAGAGCTGTATTGTTTGGATCACATATCACATGCTCCACCAGCAAGACAACAAAGGAGAAAAATAGGGCTGCATGAAGTACAGAGCTCCTGTTTACAATGGCACTTTAGATCTTTTTGTATGAAAACTGCACAGCATTTGATGCCGCTTATACATCTGTCCATCAGACTGCCTCTGCATATCAGAACCATGCCACTTGTTACAAACCATTAAACATAGTCTGTTTATATTTTAACATGACCGCACATATCATAATGCAGGTTTTTTTTACATCCATTCAATCTTTACCATGTGGTGGCAGATTTATTTATAACATTAACAAAGTGCATTGAAATGGCCTGATTGTGAAAACTGTCATTGAAGTAGATATTATTATGATGTAAATGAGGATATAATCGAACATCTGCTAATTGAAAAAGTGAGGTACAGGGTTATGCTAAAGAAAGCTGCAAAAATTAATGTTTTTTTAAAGCTAAATGAAGGGCACAGAATAAATATGAGGCCAAAAGTTATGGCTCGAGTGTCCTATTAAGTGGCAATAATTTTGCAAAAGAAAGTAAATGCACAAACGATTATGCAGACTGGCTCACTATGGCTATCACACCATATAGAGGAGCAATATAGCATCCAAAGGGTTTGAGAGCTGCATTTAGCATGATGCTAAGACAGGCATTATTTCAGTTCACCAATCAAAGCTCAATACTTCTTGCATCCAATTTCATAATTTTTTTTTCTTTTTGTTAACGTGAAATGTCGTATTATGTCGTATCATAAAGTTATTTCGGTTACGATGTGTTGTGCCTCACAGGACATAATGTCATAGGATTTGGCTTCTCTTTAACCCCTTAGTGACCAGACCATTTTTCAATGTATTTTTTTTTTTAAGGTATTTTGGGGGTTTTGTAAAAATGTGTGTTTTTGTGCCTGGAGATAATAGAGTTTAATACAGTGCATGACTCAATTATCTCCCAGGCATAGGGGAGAGATTGACCTATTTTGTATGGGAGTGTCCTGGACCTGAGAGCCAATGTAATGGTGGATATGTTTTTACTGTAGTCTACTCTCAGATCCGGGGGGAGTGCCCCTTGCATGGGGACCTGCATATAAGGCCAGTTGTGGCTGCCATTAAACATATTTCTTTTTACCCTTAATGAAGTCTAGGCTCATGTTTGGGGGGTTGGAGAGCTATATTCACTCTTGTTATTGCTATCATCACTATACTCTCTTGTAATAGCAACCTGCTTTGCTCTCTGGACTATGAGAGGTCTACCCACAGAAAGCTGGATTCTGGTCTAAGGTCCAGGGTGGGTGGAGGACAGCAAGGCCCCAACCAAGCTGCGGTGGTTTGTGGGGGATTACGGTGGTTATGGTGGTCGCAAGTACTAGGAAGCAGCGATTGACGGAGGTACCCAATCGGGGTGCCAAGCGTTCCGCTACAACACCCATGATAAATAGTTTCTACATTTTGTCCTGATTTTAGAAATACCTAATGTTAACATGTTCTTAGCTTTTTTTTTTTTTTTTGCAAGTTATAAGGCAATAATTACAAGTAGCACTTTGCTATTTTCAAACCTTTCTTTTCAAAATTAATGCAAGTTACATTGTTACACGGATATCGGTCAGGAAATTCCTGAATAACCCTTCACATGTATATATATTTTTAAAAGAAGACAACCTAAGGGTATTAAACTTGGGGTATTTTGACTTTTAAGGCAACCATTTTACCACCAATCTATGTCAAATTTAAAAAATAAATAAAAAATAATTGATTTTTTTTTTTGACACACAGCAATTTAAGAATACATGTAATGAGAACTTTAAGGATTACTGCCAAAGAACACCCCAATATGTGTTGAGCAATATCTCTCGAGTACAGTGATACCACTAATGTATAGGTTGGGTGTTGAGTTATGTGGGGGCTAAAAAACCTTATTTGGAGGGTGTGCATTCCAGTTTTGCAACTTGGAATTTTCACAGCTAGTCATCATGCACCCATGTCCTATTTGGGACATTTTTGAAGCCGGCTAATTTACCCCCATCAAACCATATATTTTTGAAAAATAGACACTCATATTTGTGTAGAGTAATGTCTCACGAGTACAACAGTACCCCTCAAGTACAGGTTTTATGGTGATTTGGAAAGTTACAGGGTCAATGTTGCCTTTGAGATGGTATGGCAGCCCAGAAATGAAAATGAACCCCTCCATGACATACCATTTGAAAAAGTAGATTATGTCATGTGTTTATTATAAATAAATATAGAGACAGGCAAACTCATAAATACCTATAGAACTTTGCGTTATCTTTCTCTATATCTATCTATAGCTCTATCTATGGAGCTTGAGTAACAGGGACTGGAGGAGAAGGGGTTAATAGTGGGTAGAAAGGCTGGCTGACAGGGGAGGGGCTACACTGGCTAGGGAGGGTGGATGACTGGGACTAGCAGGGGAGGGGTTAATTATGGGTAGGGAGGCTGGCTGACAGGTGCTGGAGGAGAATGTATTACAGGGAGGGAGTGAGAGGAGCACATATGGGCTCTAGATGCAGTGCAGTCTGTGCTGTGAGCATTCCTTACGCTAGATAAGACAGGCCCCTATTTTCATTGGCTGAAAAAGGTATTTTTCTTTCAGAGACCAGGAATCAGGAACTTCTTGAAATGTGAGAGGGGGTGGATAAGGAGGCTGGGTTACACTGCTGACATTAGCAAAACTTTTTACAGCACTGCAGGAAAACTACACAGAATTGAAAGAAAATAAACGAACCACAGGCATTCTGAGCTTATTAGCTTTAATATATGCTTAACTTGTTTAGCTGCCTGGAGTGTCCCTTTAAGATCTAATTTATGGTGGTTTATACTGATATACGAGGTCTGTCTAAACAGTCCAGCCATTGTTAATATAGCGAGATTGATTTGCACAACATTGGTGTAACCTGGCAGCCAAGGAGAGTGGACTGGAATGCGCATGCATGAACAATGACTATTTCACTGTACTAGTAAGTGGGGGGCACTAGATACCATTGAGTGAGCATGTGTGCATTTAAAATGACTATGCAAGTAGAGCAATGAATCTCCATCAACTTTTGCATTGAGATTGAACATTCTTCCGCGGAAACTATTCGGATGATTCAGAAGGCTTTCGGGTACGATGCAATTTAAAATCACTTTTGAAAGGGAAGAGATTTCAGACCATCGGTGAGATACAGGTAAATGCGACAAGGCAGCTGATGACGATTCCCCCTCAAAAAAGGATTTTGCAAAGTGTTTTGAACAGCGGAAGAGACACTGGGAGGACGGTGTAAGGTCCCAAAGTGCCTACTTCGAAGGAGATTGATGCGTCATTGCCCTATGTACAAAGTTTCTATTTTTCATATTACATGGCTGGATACTTTCTGGGCAGACCTAGTAGGTTATTTAATGTCTCTAGAGTTATTTCATGAAGCACAGTCTCTATCTGATCACCTACACCAGCAACTGATACAATGACCTTGATTGAATAAGCTTTCCAAATGACTTATTCGCAAACATTCCCATACGTGTTAATGATGATGACTATAGATAAATTATTTGAAAAATGTTTCTAACAGTATTGAATCATTTGGAAAGCTAATTACACTAATGCCAATGTTTGATGTCTCTTGGGATAGAGCACTTACAAATCTACAATGTACTTATGAATAACTTACCTCTATTAAAGGAACAGTGCAGTGCAGCAAATATTTCTGTTGAGTTATACTGATATTATTATTCTTGCCCAGTTTTCCAGTATTACTTCCTCATTGCCTCTGGAGTATGGGGTTAGACTGTAGGTGTTATTTCTTATTTGCCTCCATTACTGAGCACATAAAGCTAATTATTTTACGATTCATTTTTAAAATGCATCAAAGTTGTTCAGATGTCTAGTAAGCTTAGTTAAATGAACAGTAAATTTGAATAACTAAACACAAGGTTATGATTTCAAGACTTTTTTTTATTGTCCTCACAGGTGCGATGTAGTGGCTGCTGTGGATTACTGTACATTGATGTTAGAGAAAGAACAGGTATATTGACTATCAATAGGATACAATCTAGAACAACTGCAAGTGTAAGGTGAAGTCACCACCGTAGCCTTTTTTTTATTGCCTTGGCTTTGTCAAATAAATTTTGAAAACCCATTGGTTGACAGATGCATTGTGTGGACAGCCTCTCTGATAACCCAGTGGGTAAAAACAAAACACTGTTCACAAAGAAAACAAAGTGTTTACAAGTTACAGAACAAGTATTTGAACAAAACAAAATAAAAAAAAAAGAAAGAAAATTTTACAACAAATATAAATCCTTCCATGCTGGAGGGGTGCAAAATTAAACTTATTCTACACTCCTTTAGCACTTACAGCATTAAATAAAATTATTAGTTAGGAGCTTTAAATCTGCCGTTTTGGAACATAAAAAAGTTGTCATAACACAAATTCCTAGCAGGAATCTAATACGACTCCTAACCCTTTACATTATATTATAGTCAATATACATATAAATACACCTTTCCTTCCGTGTCTAATGTTCTTGGACGTAGTAATAGCTAGCGTTCAGAATAAGAACACAGTTATAAATATAATACAAATATTTACAAGAATAATTTCCTATTTCTTTCATGACTCAACCTGAAAGTGAGCCTTCTTACAAGGAAACAGACAAAGAAATGGAACTTGCCACCGGTCAATTCTATCCACCAACCTAATGACAAAGAATGATCGATTGATTATGGGAAGTGATAAAAATGATTATACTAACGGTATAATCTACATTAAAAGTACGAATGATTTACAGATGACACCTTTTATACATCTCCCACTGGTGTCTCCTGCCACATGGATATAAAAAAGGGTTCACCGTGAAGCACTTAATGGTCCTACATGCTAATTAAGCATCCAGGTGTACATTTTCCACCATTATGGCATTCACTCTTGGTTGTCTGGTGGCATGAAAGAACATAAATCTGGTGTCGAGAGTTGTATGCATAGACATGTGAAGGGTCATAGCTTAAATTGGGAAGACTTAATTTGACACAGACGGAAGATATATAAAAGCACTATGGCGGTTGTCTAGTAAATCCTAAATTTCTAGGACAATATGAACTCTGTGTTCAACGTCAGTACACTATCAGGTTTCTAAATCACAACTGATTCTCATACTTAACTGATATCCGATTCAGCCATATAACAGGGTCAAGATCGCATTTATTTTTTAAAATGACGACAGACCCTACAGACCTGAGAAAAATCACATATCAGAGACATTGGCTTGTGAATGAAGGGTGGTGATCACCTAAAATGGCAACAGCATCCTACTGCAAAGATATAAAAATAATAATTAAGATATAACTGTAAAATACATCAGTCATGGGATCTACTGGTCTGGCTTAGTTTCTTCAGACCAAGACACAATGCATTCATATTTTGGCGACAGCTTGTTAAGATAATTATTAATCTAAAACCAGGGACAGAAACACAATGCAAAAAAATAATAAAAAAACATCCCCTCTTTCCTTTCAGCAGGACAAGGAAAGGTACTGTTATTATGAGGTAACAGACAGAATTGCTCTCAGGGGTTTCTCCTGCAAGCAAAACAAGACTCTGGTCCACTGAACTCCAATGGAATTCCTGTCCATGTCATCAAGTCTTAGTAAAAACAGACAAAAACAACAAAAAGGCAATAGTTGCATTCTTCCAGTGCAAAGGGATTGCCAGCTTCTATATTAGGGAGTGTTTGACGCAGCTTCTTGAGCAAGTTAAAAATGATAATAGAATATGTGCTATTTCTCAGAATTCAAGTTTGCTCATTAAATGACAACTGCCTCATTAACTCATATACAGAGAAGCAAACCAAAAAGAAAATTAAAAGGCACGGAGACTCAGATCTCATTAATTGTTCTCTCTCTGGGTCGGAACTCTGAGCTCCCTGTTGAGGCCATGTAGAATGACTGTGTCTTCCTTTTTAACCGAGCTCGCTTGTTAGCGATCGTCAAACTGTGACGGCTAGAGGTGATGATTTCCAATATAAACTTTTTGCAGTCCACACA